GCTTCATTCTGGCGATTTTACGACCTTTGACCTTCAAAGCCCACTTCAAGGTCACATGTGTATCTTGCCCACTTCAAGGTTACACGTGTCTCGTCGTTGGTAAGTGTTTCGGAGAGTGAGTGGGAAAGTTACACGACGCAGTTGTTCCCACTCGTCCAATTTTGCCGTCATACAGTCAACCAATCAGTAGCTACCGCGCGTACATCGGGAAATTCAAATCAGTAGATGAACAAAGAGACTTCGAGCGCAAAATCCTATGTATTTTCTTATGGAGCTGAAATTTTGGAAATTTTCATTACATCCGATCGGAACCTTCTAGAACTCCCAACTCGAGGTTGGTATGTTTTGGAGAGTGGGAGAGAGAAACGTGTGACGTAATCGATGCAGGTTGGTCCCCTGTTGGGACTCCACCTCACCCGTCGGTCCTTCACCCTGAGCCCCGTTGTCACGTACCAGTCATATGGTCCTAGTGGTCATTGACAGCTGAGAGAACTTGAATTAAAAAATAGATTTGAACCCAGATCGTTGGAGTGGTAGGCTCTGTCTTTAGTCTCGACACCAACCTAAGATGTTGGAAATGATATGCATTGGAATCACGTAAACGGTAAGAGATAGATAGTTAGTTAAATTGTGACGAAGGAAAATAATTTAGAGGACTGATAAATTATTCATTATAATTTTCAAATTTCTTCTTCTGTGTATCTTGATATCATGCAGATTAATTGAATACCTGTTTATACTTTGTCATCAACTTGGCCCACCTTGCAATTTTGAATTCGAAATACGGATTTGTATTTTTTATAGCAATTTTTGTTCGGCAACTGAATCAACTTCGATATTCCAGGGAGATAGAGGATGATTTGATATATACCTATATAAGTAACGATAGTTTTTTTATACATTTCGTAGCAAAATCATAAACTTTATTGAAATGAATAAAAATACTTTTGCCTAATTGCCACTAGTTAATTTTATTTATACGACCGGTTTCGGGTTTAACCTCATTATCAAGTACCGTCAACCGGGGTTATATCGGATGGCAGGGGTTATATTGGACGATGTGGTTGTATTTCAAATTGAGCGCGCTACAGATGTTGGGTGACAGTTCGGTTACTAAACAAAAATATCCCTAGATTAACGGATAACCTACCAGTCGTACATGTGTTTCGCGATCGATCAGAAAATCAAGGTAAGCTCACAAAAAAT